TTCCGATCCAATCCGATCCGATCCAATGGAAGAGTACCCGGAAGAGTTGCGCACTCCCCCGGTGACCTTAGCGTCCCTCGTGGGTTGCCCGGAGCTCCACCCTCTGATCTCCACCCACTTCCTATCGGAGCAGCCTCCCATCAACACCCTCGCCCTCCCCGATTTCTCCAAAATCAGCCTCTTCAACAAGAAAAGAGACCCCGATTCCACTGCCACGTCACCCTCTCCCGCACTCGGCATCCTCAAACGCGATTGGCTCCTCAAACACCGCACCAAACTCCCCTCCGTCCTCGCCGCTCTCTTCCCCTCCCACCACCTCGCGGCCGACCCCGCTCACTGGCTCCAACTCTGTTCCCATCTCGATTCCATCAAGTACCTTACATTTTTCTTTTTTTCTTTCCATGAATCCCTATTCCCACACCGACTTAGGAATTTCTTATCTAAATTAGCTTTCTCTCAGGACTGTCATTCGCGCCAGGAACATCAAGTTCGCCGTCGTTGTCGTCGTTCAAACCAATGCAGATGAGATCAGCGAAGATAGAATGATTGCCTTGCGGAAGCGAGCCGAAGTAGATGCCAAACATGTCGTCGTTTTGAACCCAAACGACACTTCCGAACTCAAACAGACTCTTCACAGGTATGCAGATTGCGGATTGCGGATTGCACCCACTTTCTTTTCCCCCTTCTTTCGGATAATTGTTTCAAATTTCTCACTGTTGTTTGTTGGGGCAGGCTCGCCAGTACGATTTCAGAATTGGCTGGCGCGTTTTATAGAGAAGAAGGACGAAGGATTAAGCAGCGGATAGAGAAGAAGAATGTTAGCTCGGTTGAGTTGATTGTTCGCTACTGCTTCAAAGTAAGAATCATTTTATTTTCTCTTATAGTTTGTTTCTTTCATTTTCGTTTTTTTACAAGTATTAGCTTTTACAAAATGGTCGGCCACCCCAATTTTAGCTGCAGCATCATGTTTTTGGAAGTGTTTGCAATTGAGGCTGCATTTTTCAGTAATTTCCCGCAATATCAAAGAAAGTAATGAAGCTGACCTCAACGGAAATTCAAAACCTTTGAAGTAACAACTTCATTATAAAAAATAAAAAATAAAAAATAGCAGTGCAGGCTGGAATTACATTGATTTTTCTTTTCTTTGACTCTTTTTTGCCAATTATTGTAAGGGAACTTGTGTGAGTTTGCGTTTTTGTTTTGTTTTGTTTTTTAATTTTAATATTCGTATCAAAATAAAAATTGGGCATTATTTATCTAGATGCCATGAATTGGTAGGTTGCTGTATATGCAGAATTCCGAAGTGACTGGACTGAAGCGTTAAAATTTTACGAGGAGGCCTATCATACGCTGCGAGAGGTGTGTGGTTGTTATTAATTTCTGTTGTCTTTGTCTAATTCTGTTTCAGCATTGATATATTATCACTAGAGCCAAATTGCTAGTTTTGGTGTTGTATGCCTTCCCTCCATCTATTGGTTAACTCAAGGTAGTCAAAATCGAGATCTTACTCAAGATCGCAAAGCGAGGAGGTAGCGGACCATGATCCTCCTTGAATCGGGAGAAGTTTCGAAGGTTGTCAATAGATCAACGTACCCTCGAGTGTGAACCCGTTCTCCTGCAAAATCAACTAGGAGTTCTGTGTGAGGTTGGATAAGGGAGTGAGGGATGTCTAACCTGAGGAATTTCGGCCAATACAGGACGTCGACTAAGATGCCTTGGTCGATTAGCATTTTGTGGACTTCCCAGTTGACGACCTCCACAGCGATGACCATAGGGTCATCTTGATTTGGGCAGACGCCGGCGTAGTCGTCGTCAGTGAAGGTGATTGGTGGCGAGCTTTGGTGCGGGGCTGAGGTAGCGGAGTGGACGTTGTTGATGTTGCGCAGGTGTCTTTTTCGTGCCGAGCTGCTAGAGCCTCCCCCTGCGAAACCGCCTGCGATTGTGTTGATAACCCCCCGTAAGGGAACTGACCCTGTTTCTTGGCTTACCTCGTAGTGCATTGTGCCATCAGCGTTTTGTTGAGATCTAGAGGGTTGGTCGGTGCGGGTACCTGCACCGCGACCTCGCCCTCGTCCTCGTCCATTGTAGCCTCCTCAGTGGCCCTGCTATCGTTGGACGTATTGTTCGAGGTGTCCCGCCTGGATGAGCTCCTCTATACGATCCTTGAGCGTATGGCATTCTTCGGTTGTATGACCATGATTCCTGTGATATCGGTAGTGCTTAGATTTGTTCGCACTGTTGGGGATGTGTCTTGGTGGTGGCAGGGTGAGCAGGTTGCTCTTGCTGGCCTCCTCCAGGATGTGTACTCGGGGCGCATTCAGGGGAGTGTAGAAGTCGTATCTCCCCCCTTTATTTGCCCTAGTAGTCTTCTCGAATTGACAGTCATTGGTGACTTTCACTTTATCTTTGTGTCACTGGTCTGACTTTGGCTGCGATTTACCTCGGACCTGGTCACGGAAGGCAGAGTGCTCTTCCATCTAGATGTAACCGGCAGCTCGGGCGCAGAGTTCGTCCATGTCAACAGGGGGCCGCCGACACACGCTGTCAACGAATGGTCCTGGCTTGAGTGCCATAAGCATCGCGTGTAGAGCAACCTCAGGATTCAAATTTTGAATCTTAACCGAGATGCTGGCAAAATGCTCCATGAACGTCCTTAGTGGCTCGTCGTCGCTCTGTTTGAGACTGGCCAGAGCAATTGACGTAATGTGGTGAAGTCGCCTCGTTGCGTACTGCGCCGTAAACTGTCTGACCAGGGTGTCAAAGCTGTCAATCGATCCTGCCGGCAGTTGGGTATACCAGGCGAGCGCTGCACCCTTAAGCGAGGTCGGGAAAACCCTACACAAAATAGCATCGTCGTTAGTGTATAGGTTTACCTGCGTAACGTATAAGTCGATGTGCTCGTCTGGGTCCATCGTGTTGTCGTAGCGGTCGATGTGGAGAGGCTTCCAGCCAAAGGGCAGAGGCGTCTCCATGATGCCGTCCACAAAGACGTGGTGACGAATGCTCGCCCGATTTCCATGGGCCGGGGTAAGAGCATTGCTGACTTCATGGGCCGATCTATTTGTTGGTGCGTGCGACTGATGTGTAGCAGGTCGGGGAGTCGGTGCCCTAGTTGCAGTTGGGGGTTGAGAGACCGAGTGCCCCTCCTCTTCGTGTTGACCACTCGGTGGAGGGGGCTGATCAGAAGGGCACCGAGGAAGCTGAGCGCGAATACGCTCGTTCTCGGGGCACAGTGCCGCCAGGTCAGCCTCGTTCGCGGTACGCAGTGCCGCTAGGTCAGTTTCGTGCTTGACACGGATGTTTTACAGATCGGCGGCCCCAACAGTGCGAACAAATCTAAGCACTACCGATATCACAGGAATCATGGTCATACAACCGAAGAATGCCATACGCTCAAGGATCGTATAGAGGAGCTCATCCAGGCGGGACACCTCGAACAATACGTCCAACGATAGCAGGGCCACTGAGGAGGCTACAATGGACGAGGACGAGGGCGAGGTCGCGGTGCAGGTACCCGCACCGACCAACCCTCTAGATCTCAACAAAACGCTGATGGCACAATGCACTACGAGGTAAGCCAAGAAACAGGGTCAGTTCCCTTACGGGGGGTTATCAACACAATCGCAGGCGGTTTCGCAGGGGGAGGCTCTAGCAGCTCGGCACGAAAAAGACACCTGCGCAACATCAACAACGTCCACTCCGCTACCTCAGCCCCGCACCAAAGCTCGCCACCAATCACCTTCACTGACGACGACTACGCCGGCGTCTGCCCAAATCAAGATGACCCTATGGTCATCGCTGTGGAGGTCGTCAACTGGGAAGTCCACAAAATGCTAATCGACCAAGGCATCTTAGTCGACGTCCTGTATTGGCCGAAATTCCTCAGGTTAGACATCCCTCACTCCCTTATCCAACCTCACACAGAACTCCTAGTTGATTTTGCAGGAGAACGGGTTCACACTCGAGGGTACGTTGATCTATTGACAACCTTCGAAACTTCTCCCGATTCAAGGAGGATCATGGTCCGCTACCTCCTCGTCGAAGCTAACACGTCTATAACATCATCATCAGAAGGCCGACGTTGAACCAACTCGGAGCAGTGGTGTCTACCCCACACCTCATGATGAAGTTCCCAGGGAACGGTGGTAAGATCATCTCCATCAGGGCGAACCAGAAGACAGCCCGGTAGTGCTACGCCGAGAGTTTGAAGGTCTCACCATCCGAGGAGCGCCGCAAAAGTGACCCTCCTACCGTGGCTCATATCGCCCACGTGGACATCACCAACTTAGATCCAAGGTTGGACTCCCACTAATGGGAGAGTGAAAAGGTTTTTATATTTTTTTAATCTATGTGGGGCATAGGGCACCTTTTAATGTTTCTTAAGTTATTGGGCTTTGGGGGAATATGGGCTTCCGTTAGGGTTTTTTTGGACTGAATGTGTTTAATTTTGGGTCATAAAACCAGGTCACAAGTCTGACCCACAAACCTAAAATTAGGCTCGTAAAAGAGCGCCGCTTCTGTGCGATTTACGGTCTTCCACGACGATCCAGTACGATCCGCAAATTTTGCGATCCAAAGCAAGCACGAGCACGAAATTGGTGAAGAAGATCGTGAACGCGTCCGATCTTACGCGGCAAACCGCGATTTTGACTACCATGGGTTAACTGATACAAGAAAAGTTATCAGTGTCCATCATATATTTTGCTGTTATAAGTCAGAGCCTTGTAAGTAGCAATTTTTTGCATCCTCCAAGAGCATCTGTAGCAACTGATTTTATATTAATAGATAATGTTTACTTGAATTTTCTTTAATTTGTCTTGGACTCAATTTTACACTGATTCTTCTATGATTTCCACAATGATTGAATAAAGATTGTATGGTTAGTAGATCTGTCTACAAAAACCCAAGTTTTGTAACACTAACATGCATTATCTGTTTGTATTACACCACAGATTGTTGGGGTGACAACAAGGTTGCCAGCAGTACAACGCTTAGTTGAGATAAAATCTATTTCTGAACAGTTGCATTTTAAAATATCAACATTGTTACTGCACAGTGGGAAGGTTGCAGAAGCAGTGATGTGGTTTCGCCAGCACAGGAATGCATATAAAAGGCTTGTGGGTGCACCCGAAGGAATATTTCTTCACTGGGAGTGGATGAGTAGGCAGTTTTTGGTATTTGGTGAATTGTTGGAGACAAGTTCAAAAATAATTCAAGGCATTTCACCTATTATCCTAGCCACTTCATCCAAACCTTTGACTGAGTGGGAATATTATTCAGCTTATTACTACCAAGTGAGCACCCCTCTTTAACTATCTTACTTGTGTTATACTGTGTATGTTGAGAAAGGGACATGACTATACCACTTTTGTTAGCTCCACCCTTATAAGGAGGCATTTCTGGCCATATTTCTAGTTGATGTAATACATCTTAAAACACCCCTCACGCCCAAGATTGACATCTAGAGCCAGAATGTTTTTGTAGGGTTGAACATTTGTAGGTAGTCCAACATAAGATTGGAATATACTAGGCCTAACTAATCCCCAAAAGCTAGCTCAAGGGGGGAAAACTGTTCAAATCATATTAGGAGTATTTTGATCATATTCTTAGTCACTTTGGAACATCTTAACAGTTATTTTACAGTCTTGCTCTCTCTTTTAATTGAGATATCTTCATATTGAATCCACTTTTCTAATGACAGCCTTTGTTTCTTCTCCGTACATCGCAAAATCACCTTAAGTGAGTTTTTATGATTTTCTTAGTACCTACTACACCCTACTTTCTTTTAATTCATTCCCTCTAGACTACAACAGTCTAACATTGGCTGCACTTGTTTGTCATTTACATCTACTCTAGAACACCAATCCTTTTCCTCAATGTTTTGTAGCCTTTTAATCATGGTACCTGACTTGTTACTTGGCAGTAGTTGCCACCTAGGAAAGGAACTGCTAAGTCACGAGTTAAAAACGTTTATCTAATTATCTTGTGTACTCATACTAGTTTGGTTTTTTATTCTCAAATGATGCTATTAATAACTGGAAGCTTTGACACAATAGTGAGTTGCTGCCTTGTTCCTCCCCAGACCCCACTTGGTGCAAGCCTCATGCATTTGGTCAGTCTCTTTAATTGTTATGAGTGCTTCAATCTTAATCAATCTTGATACTTTGGGACTTATCTTGGTGGAGGATCATATTAGCTTTTTGTTTCTGTCATTTTGTATGTCTTCCAACCTTGAGTCTATTTTCTATCCCGAGTTTGCAACCTTTCTCAATTGCTCTGATTCAACAGATGTCTTAGGTGGTTTTTGGTGAATTAGATTATCTTAGATATCCCATAGTTATGGCTTGACTTGCTTTTGGTCTGTTGAGTGAGAGAAGTATCACTCAAGCTTTTTATTTAATCCTATATTTCAAGTAATGGGTATTGGAGTTTGAGAGAGAGAGAGATAAAACGAACAGAAACCTTTTTTTTTTTGTATATTATTCAACCCATGTCAACCTTCAAATTGTTAGTTTAGTACCCTTCATAACTTGTAACGTGACATTGTGCTGTGAGTGTCTATTCCTACACAGGCAACAGATGTGCCATCATATATTTTAATGTTTGCAATGTGCTTGTCTGTGATTCTATCAGAATCTAATAATTTATATTTATATATATATGTTGTGCATGAATGTTGTTTTGTGAGTCCGTTCATGTGTTTGCCTAAAACCTCCCTGGGTAATTGTATTCTTCTCTGTGAAACAGTTAGCTGCTCACTACTTGAGTGAGAAGAGATCAGCACTGGAACTTACAATCTCAATGTCAGAAACTTCCAATGAGATTGATAATGTTGCTGATTCAGTAGTTCCTTCAGTATATGTGGGTCAGTTTGCTCGTTTACTTGAGCAAGGAGATAAAGTTGATATGCTACCGTAAGTCTTAATTGAGTGGTAAATAAGTTCATATTTTGATATCTATCATCTTTTAAATTACTGTTTTAATTTGGATTTGCAGTCTCACTGATGAAGAATACATCCGCTATGCTGTTTCTGAAGGAAAGAGGTTCCAGGATTCACTTGAAATTATTGTTCTTCTTAAAAAAGCTTATGAATCCTTTAACAGTATGAAAATTCAGAGGATGAGCTCTTTTTGTGGGTTCCAGATGGCCAGAGAATATTTTGCTGAAGGTGATATCAGTAATGCAAAACAGATTTTTGATAGTATAGCTAGCCTGTACAGAAAAGAGGGATGGGTAACTTTATTATGGGATGTCTTGGGTTACTTGCGAGAGTGCTCTAGGAAAAATGGTACTATTAAAGATTTTGTGGAGTATTCCCTTGAAATGGCTGCTCTGCCAATATCTTCTGATACTGGTGTCCGGAGAGACACTGGTCCAGCTGGTCCTGCAAATTTACGGCAAAGAGAAATTGTACACAATGAGGTTTTTGAGCTTGTCAGTGGAGCTTCAGGATTGGCAACAATTGAACATCCCAGTAATCTCAAGATCACAGGAGATGAATCACTTCAGCTTGAGGTTGATCTTGTCAGTCCGCTTAGGTTGGTGATGCTCGCATCAGTTTCTTTCCATGAACAGACAATCAAACCTGGGGCATCAACTTTGATTACAGTATCACTTCTTTCACACTTACCCCTTACTGTTGAGATTGATCGATTAGAAATTCAGTTCAACCAATCTAAATGTAATTTCTTCATTGCAAATGCCAAAAAACCTCAATCAGTAGAAGTTAGTAATGGCATTCAACATCATCGAACAGAGAGAGCACCTTCTCTTTCACTTGAATCAAACAAATGGCTAAGGTTGACCTATGACATCCAATCTGGTAAGTCAGATACTCTTTCCAAACTTCACTTCCTATTTCGCTGACACATTCATTCAATGCTACCTTCAAATGTTTCTATAAGCAAATAACCTAGGCATGGGTACATTTGAAACATTCTATATTATCTGTTATCTGATATATGGCATGTTTTTTGTGTTCCTAATTTCTTTTGTTTATGATTCTCCCTGGCTACAATGGGATGATTTCTCATTTATAAATCATGCAAATGCTGCTATGTCTATCAAAATTGGTATAGAATTATATCAGACTACTCTTTCAACTATATCTGTCCATTATCCTTGGTTCTATAGTGTGATTTATGCCTAAATTATTTAATTTCCACCTTGAAACATAGATATCTATTACCCTTGGAAGTTTTGCTTACACTGTACCTATTTTATGTCAATTGAGATTCGAGTTCATTATATGATTTTCCAGATCAAAGTGGAAAGTTTGAATGCCTATCTGTTATTGCAAAAATTGGATCACACTTGACAATCTGCTGCAGAGCTGACAGCCCTGCATCACTGGATAGTTTACCTCTTTGGACATTGGAGGGTTGTGTACAAACTGTTCCAATAAAAGATCCAATTCTTGTGTTATCTGGTCAGAAGTCCACCCAAGTTGAAGAACCAGACCCACAGGTAGATCTGCATCTTGGTGCCTCTGGTCCTGCGTTAGTGGGAGAAATTTTCTTGGTACCTGTAACATTAGTCTCCAGAGGCCATGATGTTTACAAAGGTGAATTGAAGATCAATCTTGTGGATATTAAAGGGGGTGGCTTATTTAGTCCAAGAGACTCTGAGCCATATGCTACGGATAGCCATCATGTTCAGCTGCTTGGAATATCTGGAGCTGAAAGAGAAGATGATTCTCAATTATATTCTGACAAAATAAAGAAAATACAGCAGTCATTTGGATTAATTTCTGTTCCCATTCTTAAAAATGGAGACTCCTGGTCATGCAAATTAGAAATCAAGTGGCATCGACCTAAACCTATTATGCTTTATGTATCTTTGGGTTATACTACATATAGTAATGAATTAATTGAACAGACGGTCCATGTTCACAAGCATTTGCAAATTGAAGGGCAGACTGCTATTGTGCTTAACCATCATTATTTGATGCCATTCAGGCGAGACCCTTTGCTACTCTCTAAGAACAAGCAAGCCTCAGAGTCTGATCAGTCAGAATCACTGCCCTTGAATCAAAAAAATGTGCTCATTGTTAGTGCGAAGAACTGTACTGAGTTGCCATTAAGGTTAAAGTCCATTTCCATAGAAGTAGAGGATGATGCTGAAAAGACATGCTCTATTCAACATGGAGGTGAGGAGCTTTCAAATCCCTCACTTATTGTTCCTGGTGAAGAATTCAAGAAAGTATTCGCAGTTAGTTCCAGTATGAACATTTCCAAGCTCAAACTAGGAACTGTGTGTTTAAGATGGAGGAGAGACCTTGGGATTGAAGAACAATCTGCTTATACTTCAACATTGTCTTGGGTTGTGACTAAACAAAAGCTGCCAGATGTGAACGTGGAGTTACCTCCATTAATTGTGAGTTTCGAATGCCCCCCTTATGCCATCGTGGGAGATCCCTTCACGTATTATATTAGAATTTCAAATCAAACACAATTGCTGCAAGAAGTCAAATACTCGCTCGCAGATGCACAGAGTTTTGTATTATCTGGATATCATAATGACACTGTACATGTTCTTCCAAAATCTGAGCACATTCTCAGTTACAAACTTGTTCCACTTGTCTCAGGCATGCAGCAGTTACCTAAATTTTCCATGACTTCAGTGAGATACTCAGCAGCATATCAGCCTTCAAATTCTTCAAATTCTGTTTTTGTTTTCCCTTCCAAGCCTCAGTTCAAGGCTTCTGTCTCAACTAACTCTAGGGTAGAGTCAGTTTCTAATGAATATATCTTGTAAACCGTCAATTTTCTTATTCGATTTTTCCCCTTGTAACCCACCGGCCCCTCCTGCTTGGCGGTGGGTTGAACTATTTTACATGGAAAAGTTGCATACATGGTCCGTTTTGGTTTCCTTTTTGCTAGTTTATTATTGATTGGGTTAGGGTAGCTCTTCATTATTTAAACATTTTCGACTGTACAATATTCTAATTGATTTTGCATTAAATGTTTTCGGAGTCGGATTTTGTAACGCACTGTACAAGTATTTACCCTTAATTTATTGCTTTTGCTGCTCCAGTGTATAGTGTAGCTATAGTAAAGAAATAAGGAACCTGTTTTCATTTATTTAATATTTAGATAACAAATCTGTAAATCTCACTTCCTTTGTCTGATCACCTAGCCTACCAAACAAGAATATCGGTGTGTTTTATCTTCTCTTTTAGCTTTGGAAACGGTAGTCTCTAAGCCTGTAGTAGGCGCGAAAGTTTTTCTAACTTTCCATTCATTTTCACCCTTATTGTTTATTTCATTCCGGATGTTAACACGTGTAAATTAAAAAAATTATTTTAACAATTAAGTAATTAATTATTTTTCTTCCGTCTTATACTTTTCATTTGTCATTTGTTTTCATCTTTATAGTGCCTAATAAATTAACTCATTTTAATATAATTAAATAAAAAATAAAATGAAACTGTATGTAAATACTATAATGAAATAAAGCTTTTTTTTATAATCAAAATACAAAATCTAAAATCTAAATAAATATGAAAATTGAGAAACCAAAAATCGAACAATCATATCAGCAGAAAACATAAATTATACATTCCTAGTTAAACCAAAAATCACTAATCTAAAATTACACAATTGAGAGGATTATATATTGCTATTTGATTAAATACATATTTAAACAAAAGACTAGTCATTCCTAATTTCTCCGAACAATCATATATGCAGAAAAATTAATTAACCATCCAAAAACATTGATTATGCATAGTCATAAGTAAATGAATTAGGCAAATAAAATATTATGTAGAAAATATTGATTCTAATTAACATTATGCAGAATTGAATTATGCAACAAACATTTTGCAAAAGCAAAATACAAATGAATTAAGCTGAAACACTGTTTCTAACACTGTAACAATTAGGCCAACAATAATGCTAATTATTCAAACAGTTCTTAAAAGTGGAATGTATGATCATACTTACTTCAATGATATCAAAATACACCCAAAAAGTACAACATTAATTAATTATAATATTGCTATCAATGATATCAAAATACACCAAATGTACAACAACAACTAATTATAATATCGCTACCAACTAACTTCTTTTCATTGAATCTTAATCAAAGATTGAAGACATGTCATCTAATGGTTGATTATTTATATCATCAAGAGGTGCCTGCATAATAACAAAAAATAATTAACATGTTTAGAAGTAAGCAAAAGAATTGAAAGATAAAAAAAAAAATAAAAAATTATAAGGACAAATGATATTACCATAAAAAATTCAATAAATCTAAATTGATTTTCTAATGTATGAGGGAGCTTAAAAGTTGGAGGTGCTTTATAAGATACCATGTTGGGTTGATGACTTCTCAATTCTTTATCCTAAAACCAATATGAAAAATTAAAAAAAAGTGATAATTCATAAAGTTAGAATATATTAAGAATTAATATGTACATCAATTTACACATTTGAGATCCTTTACTTGGAGTTTTTTTTCCTATCGGATTGAAGTTCAACCCAACCTTTCAATTGCTTATTTCTATTTAAGTCAGGTTTATGCTTGAATCCCTTTGGTTGCTTACCACCATCACTCACAAATGTTGTTGTGATTACTAATACTTTTGGCTTGTAAACGCAACTCTTGAATTTCCTTACACATGACATCTACGTTGTTATCCATATTCTTGTGATATTCTTCAGATGTTGAAATGTCAACGACCAATCTAACAAATTTAAATACAAGTTTCTTATATCTCCTTGTATTAGATAATATTGGATCGTCTTCAACTTCTTTTCCCCTCACATCATGCACAATATCATTGGGGGCTTCTCTTGTCCATCTTTTTATAATATATTTCTCGAGAACAACCTTAATACCATTTGCTTCAAATACTTTCAATGTACGTGAACAAAGTATGACAAATGTTTTAAACTTTCTATAACTACAAGTATGAATAATCAATTTTATCCGGACTCACAAAAATAATGAAATGGATATCTACTATGAAGAGGAGGAGCTCTCAAAGTATGGAGGTGATAATAAGGAAGTTTGAAGCAAAAAAAAATGTTAAGTAGCTCAGAACGAGCCGTTCCAAATTCGGAACGGGCCGTTCTTAGTTACAAAAAAGCACAACAACTTTAATTGAGAACGGGCCGTTCCAAGTCAGTCAAAAGGCCTAAATTTCCTTATCTGAAACGGGTCGTTCCGAATTTCAGAACGGGCCGTTGTGCGTTTAGAACGGGCCATTTTGAATTTAGAACGGGACGTTCCAGATTCACATTTAGCTCGTAACGGAATGATCCAGAATGGGTCGTTTCGATTTTGGAACGAGCCGTTCTAGTCAGGTCTGACGTCTATAAATAGACGTCTTGGACACTATTTTCGGAGCAGAAAATTTCGTCCAAGACTCTTTAGAGCTCGAAAATTCTCTTTCTCTCTCCTCTATATTTCTTGAGATTTTTTGAGGAATATTGTAGTGTGTTAGGTCGCCAAAAAGCGCCTAAGAGATCGTTATATTCGAAGATTCAACAAGTTCAAGCATCTCATTTGGTATCTTTTCTTTTTATTTATTTATTTATTTATTTTTATTTTTTAATAATTGCTTGTACATAGTGAATATGATCTGTTGTCTTTAAAATGATTGTTTAAAAAGTATTTAATATACAATAAATAATAATGTTAATTGAATAACATTTTTATCTTTAACATTATTTGGTTCTAGGAGTTTAATGACTAGTCATTTGCTAGCCTAAACTCTCCCGTACAAAATTTCTTTTTAAAGAATAAAGATGTTGCAACCAATAACGTTAATTAAATAACACTTCTATTTTTAATGTTATTGGAGGGATTTATTGATTAGTCATTTGCTAACTTAAATCCTTATGCAAAATCTACTTCCTTAGATAAAAATATAAACATAATTTTCCTTCATGTACACTTATTTTTATGGTTAATGATATTAATTGAGTAGCACTTCTATCCTTTAATATCATGTAAATCATAAAAGTTAATAGAATAATTATTCATTGTCCTAAGCTTTAAGCATAATTTAGTATCAACAAATAAAAATCAATAACATTGATTGAATAACAATTCTATATTTCATGTTATTGGAAGGGTTTATTGATTAGCCATTTGCTAACCCAAATCCCTATAATTTTCTAATAAAAATACAAAAAAATAAGGTTTTTTTTAGGATTAAATTAAATATTTATAAATTTATATAATTTTGCGCAATTAATTAAAGGTACTGTTTTTACAGGCGTTGTAGGGTGCTAATACCTTCCCTAGACGTAATCGACTCTCAAACCCAACTTTAATTTTAAAGATTATCTATTAAAGGATTTTCCAATGTTTTTCCCTTAAAATAAAATATTGGTGGCGGCTCCATTGAATAAAAAAGGTTAGCATCATCCCGTCGTGATCCCGGTTACGACAGATGGCGACTCCACTGGGGACGTTTGAGAGTCAGGCCTTATTAAATTAATTGCGCAAAATTATGACTTCATAAATATTAATTTTTTTTCCTTTCCTTTTATTTTATTTTTTGTTTTATTTATTTGTTTTTGTTATTTTTGTTTGCTATGCATGTTTTGTTTGGATTTAAGCTTAAATTAGAGTTTTATTTATTTTATTTACATGTTTGTTTATTACCCCACACACCCACTAACACTTGTACCTCACACACTTTGAACTCTATACCCGAGCCTATGCTAGCCTAAGAAGAGAAGGTGGCTTGATGACTGTTATTGAGGGGCTTGATGCTCAATTGACCGTTGTTGAGTTACTTCTCATGTTGTTACTAGTAGCATGGGTTAATCATATTGAGAGGGTATGTTCCCTACTTGTGATTGTTTCATGCGCTAGGTCCTTATTTATATGATAAGGGCAACCTGGGGACCAATAAATCTTGAAGAGTTTTTAGATCCATCCACAAAACCATGCACTAATAGGTGGACTTAATGACCTTCTAAAGTAGGGTGTTAACCTTAGAAATTTCCTACCCTAGGTTTACCGTAATAGGTCACATTGTACTACTCTCTATTCCTCTTTTATATATGTTCATACTAACAAAAAAAAACATGTTAATACACTCATGAATCATACATTCATATCCAATATCATTTTAGTATCTAGATTATTTTTCTTGCCTAAAATAATTTTTTTAATAAACAAATAAAAGATAAAAATGATGGAAGGTCATGCATACATGCATATTAGGGGCATATTAGGTTGCATTTTTTTTCATTTAACTAAGTCTTTGTCTCATTCATTAACACTTTAAAACAATTGATAGTATTCAATATGGGGGAGATTCAAAATCATACTAGCAATGCATCAGGGTTAAGCAAGAGTATCAGGATAAATGTGCTAAAAAATGATTTCCAAAGGGTAGGTAAGATCTGCCAAAATAATAGCACATTTGACTTGATATATAACTTGTTTTAGACATCATTTATTGAGGAGAGAATTCTCCCTTGAGTGATTGTTAATCACATTTTGATATTGAGATGATTGATCATTGTTTGAAAATGTGGTTTGTACTACTGCATTGCTAGTAAGATGACCTTATCCATTGAGGAGTGAATGCTCCCTTGAAATAAGTGTCAACCATTCTATGACCTAAGGGTTTTTTTTTGCCTCTAGCGTTGAGATGTGGGGAATCGCTCTTCAATTTGAATACAAAATCAATCTTTTCCAAAATTTGTTTCTTCTTCCTTTTCTTTTATACTCATAAAATTTACTATGTATTCAGAAAGTCATAAAGCAAAAAAAAATAAAGTGTTTCCTCGGCATCGTTATAAAACACGCTCTCAAGCCAAGATCATGGATGAAATGGAGGCACGCAATGAAGAACTGAGAAATGATATCAATCAATTGAAGGAACAAATGGCCCAAATTCTAGAGATGTTGCAGTCTATACAAGTGAAAAATGTAGAAGGGCCCCTCCAGTAGCTAGAGGAGAATCGTCAACCTCTCCTATGTATCCACCTGGCTTTACCCCAGCCCCAACACAACCATTAACTCTACATCTTAACAATCCCAGCCAACATGTTGATCCTCCCGAGGTCCAATGGCCACCATATGGCCTTCCGCCCAACTACACACCTCCAACAATCATGGATCCTCCAGATAAGCACCAACCATTGGTGAATCAGCCGCCTACACAAATGCAATCTACCCAACCTGAGGTTTCACCCATGAATGTAACCTCTTATAAACATCAAGTTCTCTACCAATCCCAAAATTCCAATTTTATCAACCAAGGGAATCCTTACCAAACTTCTGGGGGATATAAACCAATCTCTGGAATTGAGCACGTTCAATCTAGTGAGAAGTTACAAATGCTAGAAGAGAGGCTAAAGGTTGTGGAAGGAGGTAGTTATGATGTCGGTGAAGCTATCGATCTTTGTTTGGTTCCAGATATAGAGTTTCCCCCAAAATTCAAAGTGCCTGAATTTGATAAATATAAAGGAACAAGCTGTCCAAAGAATCACATAACCATGTATTGCAGAAAGATGGCAGCATATGCTTGGAATGATAAGTTCATTGTTTTCAGGATTCGTTAACTGGGGCAGCTTTGAATTGGTATATGCATCTTGAACGGGTCTATATTCGCTCTTGGAAGGATTTAGCTGATGCTTTCCTTAAACAATATAAATATAATCTTGACATTGTTTCAGATAGGTTTGAACTATGCAACATGTCTAAAAAAGATGGTGAAACGTTTAAGGAATATGCTCAGAGGTGGAGAGAAGTGGCAACACAAGTGGAACCTCCTTTTTCTGATAGAGAAGCGGTAGCCTTGTTCATTGATATTTTACGAGCACCGTTCTATGATAAGATGATTGGAAATATTTCATCAAATTTCTCTGATATAGTCATCATCGGGAAAAGGATTGAGAATGGCATGAGGAGTGGGAAGATTGTGGTTGACTCTAGTGAAATAGCTAGTTCAAGAAAATTTTCAAATGATGCAGGAAAGAAAAAGGAAGGAGATACAAATGCAGTAACATTCAACTCCCCTAGGTTACCTAACAACAAACCTCCTTATTTCTATACCCCTCACATGGCCTACCCAATTATCACTACCATCTCACCATATCCTCACCAACCTATCCACCAAGCTCTGCAAGTTTCACTCGCAACACCTACCGCACGACCACCTCAATCTACCCAGCCATGGAACCAAAATTCTAACCATGTGAGGTCACAAAATACCCAAGATCAGAAACCAATTGAGTTTGACCCTATCCTTATGTCCTATACTGAGTTGTTCCCTCTCCTACTACAAAATTCACTAGTAGTACCTTGCCTGATGAAGCCCGTAGAACCACCATATCCTAGGGGATACGACGTTAATGCCAAGTGTGATTATCATGCGGGAGCTATTGGTCACTCACTTGAAAATTGCAGAGCACTAAAAATTAAGGTACAAAGTTTGACTAAGGCTGGGTGGTTAAACTTTAAAGAGGATAATCCTAATATTGGGAACAACCCTTTACTAGGTCATGGAGGGTCGACGGTTAATTCTGTTGAGGGGAATAGATGGGGTCCCTATCAATGATCTGCGAGAAATCTTTTGAAGTGCGGGATTTGAGTTTCCAAACTCAATGGCTGTTGTTGAGCAAGACTCTCGTGAGGACAAACATGCTAGTCTGGTTCACGTTTGTCCACTAAACATGGAACTTAATAATTGGGAGATTGTGAGGAAATGGAAAATGATTGCTTTAAATACTAGATATGCTGGTAACATCAATGCTTTGCCAACTTTTCTTAATATTTTGTCATCACCTTGGCCATTTTTGATATGGGGAATGGATGTTTGGTCTCATTGAGCCGAAAGCGTCAAATGGACATCGCTTCATTCTGGTTGTTATTGACTATTTTACCAAATGGGTTGAAGCCACTTCGTATGCCTATGTGACTCGAAATGTGAATTAAGCATAATCATTACTGATAAAATTAGGTGTTTAATTTAAAATTTAGCTCCATAACTCTTCCCCATATCGCCCAAAGATGAACGGTGCAGTTGAAACAGCAAACAAGAACATCAAGAGGATCATCCAGAAAATGGTGGTGACGTACAAAAATTGGCATGAAATGCTTCCATTTGCTTCACATGGATATCGTACCTCAGTTCAATCCTCAACTGGGGCAACCCCATTTTCCTTAGTTTATGGAATGGAAGCAGTCCTTCCAATCGAGGTTGAAATTCCATCTCTAAGAGTATTGACGGAAGCCAAATTAGAAGAAGCAGAATGAGTCCAAACCCGTTTTGGATCAACTAAATCTCATTGAGGAGAAAGGTTGAATGCAATTTTTCATGGCCAATTATACAAAAAAAAAAAAACTTGCTAGATTGAAAAGGGCAATCTAGGAAAAAGTTAGAGCGACCCGTTAGATTGAAAACTTGAAAGAGCAATCTAGGCAAAAATTAGGGTCAACAAAAAAAAAGAGGCTCGCTAGATTGAAAACTCGAAAGGGTAATCTAGGCAAAAGTTAGAGCGGCTCGCTAGGTTAAAAACTCAAAAGAGCAATCTAGGAAAAAATTAGGGTAAAAAAAACACAAAAAAAGAGCTGGTTAGATTGAAAACCTGAAAAGGCGATCTAAGCAAATTCAGAGCGATATGCTAGGTTGAAAACCCGAAAAAGCAATCTAGCAGATAAGTATCATGCCAATTTTTGAGGTATCAATTGGGGCAAGCCATGGCAGAGCTGAAAACTGGGGCAAAATGCATTGAATTATCCTTTAAAGTTTATTGGCGAGCAATCAAGATTATTAAACTACAGTACTAGCATTGTTCATCTGGAAAGTGTCACTCACATAACAGTTACCTCCTATTGCTACCATTGTACATATTTGTCATTCTTGTCATACAATGACTTCCTTTGTAAGCACATTTTCTTTCTTGAATAAGATTATCCTATTCCCTTGTTGCCCATTCTCCTTGCATTTTATGATAATATCTTGAAAGGAAATGCATGTTACATGTTAAAAAATTCAAGGCACTATAAATTATTTTATGAGTTTTAAAAGCCACAATATGCTTGATAATTTCCTGATAAATGTTACAAAGCGCAACCAACGGGATAATGTTTCAACTTATAAGTACTTACAACAGCTTAAGGGTAACCCAAGGAAATAGCCAACTATCATTCAATACAAAAGTATCCAAAGGTCTCACTCATCCATGATCCTTGGCTGTGTGTCACGATGAGGAATTTTTGAAAAATAAAGCAAAAGCAAAAATAAAAAGGGAAATAAACAAAAGTTTAAGTCTTGAAAGTTGTGTCTCATAACATTTTGCATCATATCACCATTGCATCACATTTCATTTGCATCTCTTGCTTCCTAGAACTTATGACGTAGAGTTTTTAGGCTAAGCACCTACTTCACATTTGACTTTCTATTTAAACCCAGTATCTACCTGGCACAAGTTGCATTTTTCTTTTGTATAAGCCCAGTACTTACCTGGCACAAGTTACATTTTCTTTTGTATAAGCCCAATATCTGCCTAGCACCAGTTATATTTTTCTTTTAAAGCCTAGTATCTGCCTGACACCAGAGATATCTTTCTTTTTAAAGCCCAGTATCTGCCTGGCACCAATTATATTTTCTTTTAAAGCCCAGTATCTGCCTGGCACTAGTTACATTTTTCTTTTAAAGCCCGGTATCTGCCTAGCACCAGTTATATTTTTCTTTTTAAGCCTAGTATCTGCCTGGCACTAGTTATATTTTTCTTTTTGAAGCCTAATATCTGCTTGGCACCAGTTATATTTTTCTTTTTAAGCCCAGTATCTGCTTGGCACCAGTTACATTTTTCTTTTTAAGCCTAATATTTACCTGGCGCGACCCGTCGACCAATTCAGCAAAAGCATTTGGTCGATCCAATATCAGCATTCAATCAATCCAGCACTAGCATTTGATTGAATTGGCACCGACATTCGGTCGATACAGCACAAGCATTCAACCACTCCAGTATTAGCATTCAGTTCATCAACATTCGATCAATCCAGCAACAATATTTGATTGAATTAGCACCAGCATTCGGTCGATACAGCACAAGCATTCGACCACTCCAACATTAGCATTCAGTCCATCAACATTCAATCAATCCAGCAGCAACATTTGATTGAATTGCACCAATATTCGATCGATCCAGCACAAGCATTCGACCACTCCATCAAACATTGACATTCAGTTGATCAAGCACAAGCATTCAACCACTTCAGGATTGGTATTCGGTTGATCAAGCACAAGCATTCAACCACTTCAACATAAGCATTTGGTCGATCCAGCACAAGCATTTGACCACTCCATCAAACATTGACATTCGGTTGATCAAGCACAAGCATTCAACCACTTCAACACTGACATTCGGTTGATCAAGCACAAGCATTCAACCCCACCACCACAAGCATACAACATTAACATTCGGTTGATCCAACACTAACACTTGATGATCCCAACACAACATTCTAGCATTGGAATGTTCAAGCAAAATTGAATCTTTCAAGAACTTACTTCATCAACAATAGGAGCTATATCTTGGGTAGCTGGATAAAATTAATTCAAATCTTTATTTATTTCTTATCACAAATGATCTAAATTACCTTATTTAGATTATTTAATAAGAAATAAATAAAGAGGGGCAACTGTGAATAATCAATTTTATCTGGACTCACAAAAATAATGAAATGGATATCTACAATGAAGAGCAGGAGCTCTCAAAGTATGGAGGTGACAACAAGGAGGTTTGAAGCAAAAAAAAAATGTTAAGTAGCCTAGAACGGGCCGTTCCAAATTCGGAACGGGTCGTTCCTAGTTACAAAAGAGCACAACAACCTTAATTGAGAACGGGCCACTCCAAGTCAGTCAAAAGGCCTAACTTTCCTTATCTGGAACGGGTCGTTTCGAATTTCAGAACGGGCCATTGTGCGTTTAGAACGGGCCGTTTTGAATTTAGAACGGTACATTCCAGATTCACATTTAGCTCGTAACGGAATGATCCAGAATGGGCCGTTCCGATTTTGGAACGGGCCGTTCTGGTCAGGTCTAACGTCTATAAATAGACGTCTCGGGCACTATTTTCGGAGCAGGAAATTTTGTCCAAGACTCTTTAGAGCTCGAAACTTCTCTTTCTCTCTCCTCTGTATTTCTTGAGATTTTGTGAGGAATATTGTAGTGTGTTAGGTCACCAAAAAGCGCCTAAGAGATCGTTATATTCGAAGATTCAACAAGTTAAAGCATCTCATTTGGTATCTTTTCTTTTTATTTATTTATTTATTTATTTATTTTTATTATTTAATAATTGCTTGTACATAGTGAATATGATCTGTTGTCTTTAAAATGATTGTTTAAAAAGTATTTAATATACAATAAATAATAATGTTAATTGAATAACATTTTTATCTTTAACATTATTTGGTTCTAGGAGTTTAATGACTAGTCATTTGCTAGCCTAAACTCTCCTGTACAAAATTTATTTTTAAAGAATAAAGATGTTGCAACCAATAACGTTAATTAAATAGAACTTCTATTTTTAACGTTATTGGAGGGATTTATTGATTAGTCATTTGCTAACTTGAATCCTTATGCAAAATCTACTTCCTTAGATAAAAATATAAACATAATTTTCCTTCATGTACACTTATTTTTATGGTTAATGATATTAATTGAGTAGCACTTCTACCCTTTAATATCATGTAAATCATAAAAGTTAATAGAATAATTATTCATTGTCCTAAGCTTTAAGCATAATTTAGTATCAACAAATAAAAATCAATAACATTGATTGAATAACAATTCTATCTTTCATGTTATTGGAAGGGTTTATTGATTAGCCATTTGCTAACCCAAATCCCTATAATTTTCTAATAAAAATACAAAAAAA